GCCTGCCAATGCAGGGGACACGGGTTCGAGCCCTGGGCCAGGAAGATCCCACATGCCATGAAGCAACTAAGCCCGTGCACCACAGCTACTGAGCCTGAGCTCTAGAGCCCGCGAGCCACAACTACTGAGCCCGTGTGCCTAGAGCCCATGCTCCGCAACAAAGAGTAGCCCCGGCTCACTGCAACTAGAGAAAAGCCCACACGCAGCAACGAAGACCCAATACAGCCAAAAATAAATAAATAAATAAATTTATTTTTTTATAAAAAGGGAATAGGGAGTGCTATAATTTGGAGGGTTTTGTTTTTTCTTTTCGTTTTTTGTTTGTTTGTTTTGTTTTTAGGGGGTGCTGTAATTTTAAATGGGATGATCAGTACCAGCCTCACTGAGAAGATGACATTAGACCAAACTTCAGGAAGAGCATTCTGGGAATTCCCTGGCCATCCAGTGGTTAGGACTCGCGCTTTCACTGCTGAGGGCTCAGGCTCAATACCTGGTCATGGAACTAGGATCCTGAAAGCCACAAGGCGTAACCAAAAAAAAAAAAAGATCATTTTGCCAAGGAGAGGTTCTGGTACAGAAGACAGCCAGTGCAAAAGCTCTAAGGCTCCAGAGTTCAAGGAACAGCCTGGAGGCCAGACTAGCTGGAGCATGTTAGAGAGGCCACAGGGCCTGTAAGCATCATTGGATTTTGGCTTTTACTCTAAGTGAGCTGAGGAGATATCGGTCTTGAGCAGAGAGATGAGATGCAGAATATATCTCATTGGAGACAGAAACTTTTGAGTTTTGCTATAAAGGAGAAATGGGGTAATAGCATAAGAGATGGGGGTAGGTGACAAGAGAAGGTTTGTTGTTGTTGTTTTTAAGACAAAGAGCATAATTGCATGTTGAACGTCTGGCTTGAAATTAAAATCACAATTCTTGACTCTTCTGCTTCCCCAGTGCACTGCTTTATTTGACTGCTCTATGTATTGAGAGAGAAGGGGCTGTACTTGCTTGATCCACTCATTCAATGAATTACTTAGTATCACAACATATACAAACTAATGTAACCAAATCAAAGTTAATAATTTCTGAAATCTATAGTTTTCAGCTTCTGGACAAGTATCTAGCTATAAAAGTGATTTCTTAATAAACTCTTTCAAATTCACTCTTTCCCCACAATCTTTCCACATAATAGAGAATTAAGAAAATATGTCATGACACAAACTACTTGTCAAACAATTACAGTAGTAAAATATTCAAAAGGCCCCTTCAACAAATTTTATGACTATAGCTCAAGAGTTTAGTAATCAACTCGTACATGAATCCTGAAATTTTTCCTTTTTTTTTTTTGGCTGTGCACGGCATGCGGGAGTTTAGTTCCCTGACCAGGGATCCAACCCATGCCCCCTGCAGTGGAAGCGCGGTGTGCTAACTACCGGACTGCCAGGGAAGTCCCTGAATCCTGAATATTTTAAAAGATGGTATCAAATGTTTTGTAAAACTGTCCCAGCATTTATGACTTAACTGTTCTTTTAGAGGAGATTTACTTTTTTTCTTTTTGCTGAATTGCTCATTTAGCTGTTTAGAAAAATGATATCAGCTGTGAGGGATTTTTGCATAATTGGCCATCTGTTTCAAGGTAATGATTACAGACTGCACCCTGCAAGTGATTCATAGGTTTCGTTAACTTCTTCCTTCAGAAACCAGGTAATAGGTGAAATCCATAATTATCAGTTTCACTACAGCATCTTTTTGAGGTAGTAAGTATTTTGGTGGTTGAGTCTGAGGGTTTACTTGAAAAGATCATTTGTTTAAAAAAGAAGTTTTGCCGGTTTGTATTTGGAATCTGAATATAGTTACCAAGAATCCCACAGCTGCTATGCAATGAACTTGGAACCAGGAAACCTTGATTCGAATCCCGACTCCGCCACACATGAGTCCAGTGACTCTGGGCAAGCTACTTGACTTCTCAGAGCCTCATGTAGCTCAACTGCAAAATGAGAAGACTCCTTGCCTCAGTGCTATGGTGAGGATGGAATGACCACCCTGTAGCCTTAAACGCCTCGCACAGCCAGGGGCACATTACAGACTCCCTGCCATCAGGTCAGGCCAACTCCTTCCCTCTTTTCCTTAGCAGAGAGAGTACAGCTCTTCATACAGTGCCATTTGTATCCTTATAGCCACCTCTCTAGAGAAAAGGCAGGACTTCTGATATAGTCATATAAAGGGGGAAAATTTTTTGTTTCTTCCCCACTGACATCTCAAAAGTTTATACCACTATTCCTCTTGCTGGGGGAATGGGATGAGAAATGGGATCTCACTAGTGTACATTTTATTTTAATAAATTACTCGTCTCAAAAGTAACTATTGAGGACTTCCATGGTGGCACAGTGGTTAAGAATCCACCTGCCAATGCAGGGGACACAGGTTCAATCCCTGGTCCGGGAAGATCCCACATGCAGCAGAGCAACTAAGCCCGTGCGCCACAAATACTGAGCCTGCGCTATAGAGCCCGCGAGCCACAACTACTGAGCGTGCGTGCCACAACTACTGAAGCCCACGCGCCTAGAGCTCGTGCTCTGCAACAAGAGAAGCCACTGCAATGAGAAGCCTGCGTCCTGCAACAAAGAGTAGCCCCCGCTCGCCACAACTAGAGAAAGCCCGCATGCAGCAGTGAAGACCAAACGCAGCCAAAAAATAAATTCAATCATTCATTAAAAAAGTAACTATTTAGATACTTTGACATATACTATGATGATCAATACTTTACCTTGAATATACTTAACTCTTTTTAGTCTAGATGGAAAACCTGCATTAATGTTGATTATATGCATAAACATACTAATATATATATCTAGGGTTATAAAAATTTATGAAATTTGCTAAAGCACATCAAAATACCTAACGTTTATCTTGAAATTTTAATGCAAGTCAGCACATTGTAAACTTAAAATGCTGAACGTGGTTGCCAAGTTATTGCTGAGACACCCTGGAAAACTTGGGAAGCAATATAACTTCATGGAATTTGGAGCCAGAAAAAAAACCTGGGTTTAAACCCAGGCTCTGGGACTTCCCTAGTAGTCCAGTGGTTAAGACTCTGCACTTCCAATGCAGGGGGCATGGGTTTGATCCCTGGTCGGGGAACTAAGATATCACATGCCGCACAGCATGGCCAAATAAATAAATTAATTAAATAAACACAGGATCTGCCACTTACTATATGTAATTTTGAAAATTTTCTGAACCTCAAAGCATTAGTTTCCTATCTGTGAAGTAGGGATAATAATAATACTTCTCAGGGATTAAGTGGATTGAGTAAAGTCATGCATCTAGAACTCAAAATAGTATCCCATTATGATGACGAAGACTTAATGCAAAGTAAATAAATCTGGAGTCCCTGGTTACAGGACAGATATTTAAAGTTGTCAGTTAAGAATGCTAACTAGCTCACTTAGCTTAGAAACAAGAAGAACTAGTTTAAAATAACGGCCCAGCTTTTTTGTTGCTAGCTATGTGACCTTGGCCAAAGGCCAGACACATTGTACCTCAGCCCACTCATTTAACTGTTAGGTATTAATGATATTAGGTATTAATATTAGTTACAATTTGTAAAGCACTGAACATACACCAATGCAATCTGATAGGTTTACACATGCACTCCAGTCTTTACAATAACCCTTCAAGGTAGATATCCTTATCTCTATTTTACAAATGGCTGAAATTGAGAGAAGTTAAACTTGTTCAAGGCCACCCAGCTAGTAAGTGGTAGAGCCTGGATCCACAGTGGGGTTTGTCAGTCTCCAAATCCTGTCCTTAACTACCCAATGAACTCTCTACCACCTAACTCTCTTAGAGAAGATCAAATAACATTTTTCCTGCAAGAGTGCTTTTTGAATTGAAACGTCCTATACAAACGTGAAGTATTATCGTTAATACTCTATATCAATCTAAATAATTCATAGAATGGGTCTGTGATTTGCCCCCTCAGTGCCTGGGAACCCTGAAAGAACAAAAGGTTAGCTTCAAGATCTCTTTCATCTCCTCTTGGAATTTTGTCTTGACCTCAATTTCGCTTGAACTGACCTGATAAACATTAAAGAATAGATAGCTAAATGCTGCTCTGTGCCACCCAAAGGCAGCTCTCTGCACTCTCAGGAGTCCAGGGCAACAAGGTCTTGTGCTTTTCCTTGAAATATGGACAAAATATTTTCTTGGACTGACTTCTCACACCTGCATTTGCAGTTAGCTTGGGTAAGTATAAATAAAAGTGTTCACATAAATGTCCGCCTAGACTAGGGCTTTGGAAATCACCCTATAACAAACTCCAGTTCCTGGCACACATGCTATCGATCTAATAAAAGCAAATTTCAGTCCCTTTTCAAGGACATGGGGTAAAATTTAGAGGGGCTTTTCCCTCTGAAATTTTTGTCAACTAGTCCCGCATAGTTTAGTATAACTCTCTTAGTTATCCACCCTTGGAATAATAAGCTTCCCGGAAATACCAAAGCGTTGATGACATGTGACATGATATATGCGGGTCAAAATGGGGCTCGGTTTGGTATCACCCGGAAGGCACCCCCTAGCCCGCCAATCCCGGAGATGCTCAGCGTGGCCCGCTCACCCCTGCAGAGGAAGCAGGAGGGCAAAGTCCAGACAAAGTGAAGGGTGTTAATTTGCCGAGCCAGATCTCGACGCTGGGAAGGCGCCGAAGCTGCTGAATCTCGGGTTACTAGAGCATGCTCATTTGCATGAGGAAGAAAGGTCGTCCCGGGTTTCCCAGAGGCCAGATAGAGACTGGAGAATGTGACTTTCTGCAGTCCTGGGACTTACCTCTTCCCTTCCCTGTAAGGCCCTCTCGCTCCCCCTGGGGCGCTCGCAGCCGCGGACCCCACCCCGCTTCCGACTTCGGGATCCGGGAAGCGCAGCTCAACCAGCCGGAGCCAATTTAAACCTGCGCGGGGCGGTGGGAGAAGCGGCGAGAGGGAGCGAGAGGCTGAGCCCCAGCCCCCGGCGCTTACCTCCGACGGCGAAATCTCAAACACGCTCGCGATCTTGGCGTAGAGCTCCTGGATGCTGGAGAAGTTCTCCACTCTGCCCGTGGCGCTGCCGTGGGCCAGCTGCGTGTGGAAAACCAGCCTGCAGGTGGGCGCCGGGAGCCTGGGTAGGCTGCCGCCAGCCGCATTAGTCTGCTCGCCCTCCACCAGCCGGGAGGTCTCCTTGGTATTGAATTTCTTTTTTCTCCGCAGCCGCAGGGGCATCTTGCCTGGCCGAGGGCGGGGACCCACCTGCACTGCCACGGACTGCTGCCTCCTTGGCCTGGGCCCGCGGACTTTGTGCTATGGGCCTGCCGGCTCCGGGCAGGTGCAGCCTGGGCTGGGCCAATGGCAGAGGCGCTCCCGCCAGGCTCCGCCTGCTCAGGGCCCTCCTCCACTGAGAGGAGCTGCACCTGCAACCCGCCGAGCAGCCACCTGCCCCCCGGATGGATCAGGGAGAAGAAAAGTTGGACCCTGAGGAGGAGAATGTTGCCTACCATTCCAGTTCTACAAGGATCAAGCCACCAACCATCGCAGCTGCCCCGGATGGTGTGCCCTGAGGGGAATTCAGAATGGAGAAAACAAGGAAGCATTCTGTTATTTGGATACTGGCCCTAGATAGTTAAGATGCACATCTAAGGAATCATTTCAGTGAACTCAGACTCTTGCATCTTCCCCTACATAGGAAAGCACTACAATCATTAACTTGAGACGTCTGTCCTTTGTGATTAGCAGTAATCTTTTCATGTTCCATAACACGTTTTTATCCAACAAAAACACCCATATATCCTGGCTCCTCCCTTACCTCTTCTGAGCAGTTCCTCAGAGCTATCTGAGAGGCTCTCCTCCGCTATAGTGCTCAGTAAGGTCCCCGAATGAAACTTAACTCAAAACGTTTAGGTTGTGCAGGTTCTTCAGTCGATAGCCCATTCCCTCCTCTCATCTCCTGGCTTCTTTCCCCTCCTTTAAAAATGGTTCAATTTCTAGGGATTTCCCTGGTGGTGCGGTGGTTAGGAATCCGCCTGCCAATGCGGGGTACTCAGGTTCTAGCCCTGGTCCGAGAGGATCCCACATGCCCTGTAGCAACTAAGTCCATGCGCCACAACAGCTGAGCCTGCACTCTAGAGCTCGCAGGCCACAACTACTGAGCCCACGTGCCACGACTACTGAAGCCCGCACACCTGGAGCCATGCTCCACAACAAGAGAAGCCACCGCAGTGAGAGGCCTTTGCACTGCAATGAAGAGTGGCCCGCACTCGCCTCAACTAGAGGAAGCCCGCGCGCAGCAATGAAGACCCAATACAGCCAAAAATAAATAATAAATAAATAAATTTTGTTTTTAAATGACTCAATTTCTATAAAAGCCTTAGGATTCCGATTGTACAGAACAACACCTCTTAGAATACAAACATGCTGGCCCTTCTGGTGATGGTCATAAACGTGTGGTCGGCACTCACACACGACTGGGCCACATGCCTTCGTAACTTTATGTCTGGGCCATTGGGAATAGGAATTTAAGTGGAAGTCAATCTCCATCTTTCTTCTCTGTACCTTACACCCTGCAAGGCAGAATTGGAAGAAGTTTTGAGATTAGTGCCACATTGAATTCATAGTTAAACACCCTCAGCCAAGCCCTCAGCAACTCTCAGTAATCCTTTTTACTTCTTCCTGGGCATCTTTCTCTCCCAAACATTCAGCACTCTCCCAAGGTGATTTACTCCACCTCCGCCCTCCTTGGTCTCTGTAGAAAACCCTGTCTCTTATTCTACAGAGGAAATTGAGGCCACTCAGTGTGACTCCTGAACTCCCTCAATTCCCCACCCTTTGTCTGTAATTCCACCAACCTCCCTTCTCCAAACTCTGAAGAAATCTCTTCTTTTATTTGACCCTTGAGCTGATCTTTTCAATCCTTGAGGATCTCTATGTTTAAGCTACCTGTTGACTCTCGTCTTTCATCTCCCCACCTGGTACCATCCACTGATGGTCAAAAGCCCAAATCTTTTACATTGTTTTCAAGTCCTCCACCCCTCCGCCCCTGCAGTCACCTCTGCATTTTCACAGCAAAGCAAAACAGTCTTGAATTAGCTGCATTTCCTCAATTCCCCCTTTGCTCTTAGACTCACTGTGATCAGATTTTGCCCTCACTCTTCACTGAAATTGCTCTTACTATGGTCAGCACTTAATCATCAGATATGATTAATAGTTTTCAGTCTTACTTCACCTTTTGGAATATCTGACTGCATTGACCATCTTATTCTTAAATCACAGCTCTGTTTTGGCTTCTACTGAAATAAAAACATACAACATGAGAGTTCTGAGTTTCAGTTTTATTTGGAGATTTACTGAGGACTATAGCCCAAGAAACAGCATCTCAGATAGCTCTGAGGAACTGCTCAGAAGAGGTAAGAGGGAGGTCAGTATCTATGTGCTTTTGGCAAAGGGGGTACATGCACCCAAGCACACATCTCAGTAGAAGTTTGCTGCCAGACATGAGGAACAGATATCTTCATAAATGGTTTTAGTGCTTTTCTAAGTATGGGAAGGCACAAGAATCCAGGTTTATAAAAAATTTCTTCTGAAAATATTTAACTATTTGAAGCTTTGTTCTACCAGTTTTCCCAGAGTCTTATTCCTAATCTCTGTCCTGAACTCCTTTCAGGGTGTGTTAAAGGTCAGCAGCTGCAGTGGCTGATATCCACTTGTGATATCAACAAATTTGAATGAATTCCTCTCTTCTTGAAGCTTCCAAGATATCTTGAGATTCCTGCACTTGTCAGGAGGTGGCCTTCATTATTCACCTGATAAGTCTGCTGGGAACCTAAGAGTTTCCAATTTCTGGAGGGATGAGGTAGAGAGAAAAGATAAAAGTTTCAATTCTGCTTACAAGGATATAATTTACCAAATTGCTGTAAGCCATAATTAGCTTAAGGGGAAATGTTTCCTTATATCTGGAAAACACAGAGTAAAAGCCAGTAACATTTCAGACAAAAAATTTTTAAAAACATAAAAATTATAACCATATTCAGTAGTTCACTCAGTCCTATGTAACTAATCCTTGATCTCTTGTTAACAGTTTTATGAAGCCATCAGGGTTTCCATTAAAATTCTTTAATTCCTTACCCAGTTCAGCTGTATGATCTGAAATTTATCAGAAACCTGTACTTGTCAAACAGTCCTTTCTATGAATCTTGAAGATGAAGCTTTATTTTTTTGCAAAAACATCAATACAACAATAACTGTCTATAAATGACAAAAGATTTTAAAAGGCATAGTTAAAGATCTTATTTCAATGCAATTGACAAAGAAGCTTGGTTACTGCTGTGACATACAACATTTTAAAATAAGTAGAATTATGACTGATAACATTTTGCCAGGACATACCAGATTTTTAGGAATTCCATATAATTTCTAGAATACCTGTATTAATAATATTTACCCCAATATAACATAGGAAGTTTTATCACTCATTTAACGATGCTTCCCACGTAATTTAACATACCAAATAAACCTAATTAATTTAATACCTCTTTTTGGAGTTCCATGGCGGTCCAGTGGTTAAGACACTGCAGTGTCAATGCAGGGGGCACGGGTTCAATCCCTGGTCGGGGAACTAAGATACCACATGTTGCGTGGCGAGGCCAAAAGATAAATTAATTAATTAATTAAATAAAATTATTTTTTAAAAAGGGCAGACCTTCCCTGGCAGTCCAGTAAGCCTCTGCACTTCCACTGCAGAGGGCATGGGTTCAATCACTAAGATCCCGCATGCCATGCAGCGCAGCCAAAAAAATTAATTAATTAATAAATTGAAATTAAAGAAAGAAAGAAAGATTTCAAAGGCAAATTCAGAAAGCTATGATATATCACTTAAAAGGTAAAGAGGGACTTCCCTGGTGGCACAGTGGTTAAGAATCTGCCTGCCAAAGCAGGGGACACAGGTTCGAGCCCTGGTCCAGGAAGATCCCACATGCTGCAGAGCAACTAAGCCCGTGCGCCACAACTACTGAGCCTGCGCTCTACAGCCCATGAGCCACAACTACTGAGCCCATGCGCTGCACCTACTGAGCCCATGTGCTGCAACTACTGAAGCCCGTGCACCTAGAGCTTGTGCTCCACGACAAGAGAAGCCACCACAATGAGAAGACCGTGCACCGCAACAAAGAGTAGCCTCCACTCGCTGCAACTAGAGAAAGCCCATGCTCAGCAACAAAGGTCCAATGCAGCCAAAAATTAATTAATTAATTAATTAATTAAAAAGGAAAGAAACTTTACAATCTGTTACCGAAAGCAGATCGACTTTCTAAGAGAACTTTGTTTTCTTCACAGAGAGAGAAAACCAAATTCAAGTTTTGCACCACTTTACCTTTAATCTTAAAATGTATCTACTCAATTAAATTCATTCTAATCTAAGTCAGTCCTGACCATACATAGGATTCCTTTCTAAGGATTCTTTTTTAATTTCTTCCCCAGGAACCTTCCACAACTCGCTATATCCATATTAATTTGTCCCTTATTTTCTTTCTTATTCAGAAATAACCAGCTTTAAGACAAAATTACTTTATTTTCCCTTAACAAAATGCATTTCCATTCCTCATATCTTCTTTTACTGAAAACACAACTCTTACTTTCCTTGCATAGTGAAATGTTTCCCTTATTATTTCTATTAGCTTTAAGTACATATTTTAATTAGAATTCTCAACTCTTAAAAAATCTTAATTTCTAGTGAAAACAAAGAAGTAAGCACTTAGGAAATTTTACATTACCATTCTATAGATTGGCAAACTTGTAAACACTATTTATAATGTCTAAAAACATGCTTTCTTATAGAAAATGTCTCAGTGTGGCACCAAACATATTTATTAATCGTCCGTAAATATCTTTAGTTTCTCTGTAAAAGAAAGCCAGTGTTCAGTAATTAATGTTTCAGTATCTTACTTTATTTGGAAATGACCTAGATAGTCAATAAACTTCCATCATTTAACTTAATTTAGCAAAACTGTAAAGTTTCAAGTTAGCAAAATCTGGAGAGACTATTTTTAGGTAGACATTCCTAAAACATAATTATTCCTAAAGAGTTTACCTTAAGGTTCTTATCTCATTTACATTTAATTTACTTATTAAAAACTTCATCATACCAAGTTATTTTTCTTGGTAAATAAAAAAGCTGACAAACTTTGGTAAAGCTGACAAACTTTGCACCAGATATAGTAAGATCTTATTTGACTTCTAGTAAACCTAGGTACAATCATACTATTATACTTAATGTTGATGACTCTAAAGACATGTCTGTATTGA